TGGTGCTCTGAGTCATTTCACTCATTTATTTCATGCATGGTGCTGTAGCTATATACCCTATGGTTAGGTGAAAACAAGAGGATTGCTTAACTACTTGCCTCTGTAACAAATCTTTGAAAGGATGGGTTCCCAGTGGCAAAACCTTTTCTTTATATTTTTTCCCCTTTTTTCCCTCGTAGTCTAGGCAGCTCTGAGTTCGACAGTTTCATACTGGAAATACTCACAACGTGGTAGTCAGTTGTGCAGCCATGAAGACATGCCCATTTCAAGAAATGAGTTTCATTTTAAGACATCAGTCATCAAATCCCATTGTTTCCGGATAGTCACACCTTGAAATGAATGATCCACCAGGCTATGAAAAGAATTGACAGTGAAAAATACCCAGGGTACTTGGGGAAATAAGCTTCAGGATTGTTAAGTGACTATTTTAATAAGAGTTCGTCTTTCCTCAGAACCCCATTCTAGAAAGGATCATAGTACACAAAGCTTCCCAGCAATGACTCCTCCCTTACCAGTAATGAATGGTATTTCCAAAGCAAGTACATCCTTGGAACCCTTCCTCTTTGGTATTAACCATGGATCCAGGAAGTTAATTCAATGGCAAGAAGACAGTGAAGATTTCTCAGGGTTTGATTCTAAACCTTACTCAGAGACTCTCTCTCAACTGTCTTATCTATTTCCACAGCTTTAAGATTCATCTGTAGAGTGATTTTCCCTACATAAAATTCTCAAACCCAAATCACTTTTCTGAGTCCCCAACATATCTCTTTAGCTCCTTATTGAACATTTTTTGTTTTTGAGAGATGGGGTCTCGCTATATCACTCAGGCTGGTCTCAAACTGATGGCCTCAAGGGACCCTCCCAACTCAGCCTTCAGAGTAGCTAGGACAACAATGTGAGCCAACACACCTAGTCATATGGGACAACTGTAATCACTTCAAACTGATCATGCTCAAAGCTAACCTCATCATCTTCCCCCAAAGCTGTTCCTCTCCCAATTTACCCTATCTACAAATGGCACCACGATCTACTTAGCATTGCAAATAGAAGCTTTCAATTAATCCTAGACTTATCCTTTTCCTGAACCCCAAACATACAAGAAGTGATACATTTTTATATTCTTTAACCAAATGTATCCAAGTTTTTCCATCCTCTTGGCATCATCCTATTTTAGATCCCTGCTCCTCCAGTATCATACATTTCCTCTGCCATAGTTTCATTGCATTTTTCTTTTATAAATCCATCACTTCTCCTCAGTAGACTGTAGATTCCATTGGAAACAATGAACATGCATGTCTCATTTGCGACTATATCCCCATGTAGCAGAAGACCTGACTCATAGTAGGCATATATTCATTAACTATTTATTAGTCATGAACTATTTATTCATTAACTATTAATAGTTGTTGAACACATGATTGAATGAATGACCCTGTCAAAAGTAGCAAGAGTTATTTATACAATAGATAAACATTTATTGCACACCTACTATCTTCAAGGCACTGTTCCATGGGCTAAGATTCCTAGGATGAACAAGACAAATAAGGTCCTTGCTCACCTAGACCTTACATGAATAAGTTATCCATAACTGAATCAATAAATTATGCATTGAAGATGGAAGCATCTTTAAAAATTTCTCTGTATGATGTAACAAATAAACTCAAAAATGTATAACTGCTTAAACATGATAGACATGTATTTTTTGTTCAAGAATATTCCAAAAAGAATGTTTCCATACACATGGACTGTCTCTCCTCAAAGAGATAATTCAAGAACCATGTTTGGCTTTAGAATCTTTAGCATGCAGCTGCCAAATTCAAAGTTATCTTTCATCCAGTTGATGGAAAAGGATACAGCATGAAGTGTCAAGTGTGAGAGGTAAGATAGCATGAATCATTTCATGACATATCTCCTAAAACGTTTCCAGAAGTCCATGGTGGACTACAAATGTAAGTATCAAAAGAATTCACAGATACATTCAATTTTGGTCCCCAAGAGAAATTCCAGAAACTAAAGTAAAGAGATGACTAGAAATATGATATATTCAAATCATGAAATTGGGGGAGATGAGAAGAAAGGGACAGAGAAACCTCTCTTTAACACACATAGTTCTGAGGCCCCCAAAGCAAAACTTTTTCTAGAATTGCCGTGAGATAGTATGAGGTCATGTTCCTCATCCTATATTCATATCATCTTCCACCCTAGGATGAAACAGAGATCTAATTTCCATTGCATTTATTCATTTATTCTTCTGTTTATTTACTATTTATTTTGTAACTGGATAACATGGAAGACAAAAAAATAATTGTAAGCTGCAATTCCTGGCTGTAGTTGTCTATAGGTGTAGGTAATCTAATTGGGAATATTACCTATGTAAGCATGAAATAACTAATAATGCTATGAGATTTTATATATGGAT